CTCCCAAAACTCCCCAAAATCCCCCAAAACGGCCCCAAATCTCCCCCAAACACCCCCAAATCCCGGTTAAATTTGGGGAGGGGGTCCCCCCAATTTGGGGAGGGGTCTCCCGGAATTCGGGGAGGGGTCTCACCCTCTCGGCGGCGGCATCGATGGCGGGCTGGTGGTAGAAGGAGGTGACGGCCTTGCAGCGCTCCCGCGCCAGGTCCGGCGGCGTTTGGTCGCCGGCGCCGCGGGCGGGGGGATTTTGGGGGACCCCTCCCCCCCTGAGGGGGTTTTGGGGGACCCCTCCCCACCCCAGGGGGGCATTTTTGGGGGTCCCACCCCCCCCCCAGGGGGGAGTTTGGGGGGTCGCTGCCCCACCTCGAAGACCCCCCCCCAAAAGGCGCCGCAGCATCTCCTGTGGGGGGGAGGGGAGAGGGGAGGAAGGGGTTAATGGGGGGAGGGGAACCCCCAAAAATTAAATTTTGGGGGGGGGGTTCAAGGAGAGACCCCAAAATCCACCCAAAGGACCCGAAAATTCTCTGAAATTACCCCAAAATCCACCCAAAAAACCCCAAAAAGCTCAGCAAGAAAAGACCCCAAAATCGGCCCAAAGGACCCCGAAAATTGCCTAAAATGACCCCAAAATCCACCCAAATAACCCCAAAAATCCCTTCCAGAAAAGATAACAAAATGCCTTAAAATGACCCCAAAATCCACCCAAAGAACCCGAAAATTATCTGAAATTACCCCAAAATCCACCCAAAGGACCCAAAAATTATCTGAAATTACCCCAAAATCCACCCAAAAAACCCCAAAAAGCTCAGCAAGAAAAGAACCCAAAATCCGCCCAAAGGACCCCAAAAATCCCCTAAAATGACCCCAAAATCCACCTAAATAACCCCAAAAATCCCTTCCAGAAAAGATCCCAAAATGCCTTAAAATGACCCCAAAATCCACCCAAAGAACCCAAAAATTATCTGAAATTACCCCAAAATCCACCCAAAGGACACCAAAAATTCGCTAAAATGACCCCAAAATCCACCCAAAAAACCCCAAAAAGCTCAGCAAGAAAAGACCCCAAAATCCGCCCAAATAACCCCAAAAATCCCCTAAAATTATCCCAAAATCCACCCAAATAACCCCAAAAAGCTCAGCAAGAAAAGACCCCAAAATCCACCCAAATAACCCCAAAAATCCCCTAAAATGACCCCAAAATCCACCCAAAAAACCCCAAAAAGCTCAGCAAGAAAAGAACCCAAAATCCGCCCAAAGGACCCCGAAAATTGCCTAAAATTACCCCAAAATCCACCCAAAAAAACTCCAAAAATCTCATCAAGGAAAGATCCCAAAAGTCCCCCAAAGGACCCCAAAAATCTCCTGAAATTACCCCAAAATCCACCCGAAGGACCCCGAAAATTGCCTAAAATGACCCCAAAAATCCCTTCCAGAAAAGATCCCAAAATGCCTTAAAATGATCCCAAAATCCACCCAAAGGACCCCAAAAATTGGCTAAAATTGCCCCAAAATCCACCCAAAAAAACCCAAAAAGCTCAGCAAGAAAAGACCCCAAAAATTGCCTAAAATGACCCCAAAATCCACCCAAATAACCCCAAAAATGCCTTCTAGAAAAGATCCCAAAATGCCTTAAAATAACCCCAAAATCCACCCAAAGGACCCCAAAAATTCGCTAAAATTACCCCAAAATCCACCCAAAAAGCTCATCAAGAAAAGAACCCAAAATCTGCCCAAATAACCCCAAAAATCCCCTAAAATTACCCCAAAATCCACCTAAATAACCCCAAAAATCCCTTCCAGAAAAGATCCCAAAATGCCCTAAAATGACCCTAAAATCCACCCAAAAAAACTCCAAAAATCTCATCAAGGAAAGATCCCAAAATCCCCCAAAATTGCCCCAAAATTCACCCAAACTACCCCAAAATCCACCCAAAAAAACTCCAAAAATCTCATCAAGAAAAGATCCCAAAAATCCCCTAAAATGACCCCAAAATCTGCCCCAAATAACCCCAAAAATCCCTTCAAGAAAAGCCCCTCAGAATTCCCCCAAAATCAATATTTAAAAGGTCCAAAACCCCTTTTTTCCCCCCAAAATCCCCTTAAAATTCCTCAAAAAATCAGATTTAAATATCCAGGACCATTTTTCCCCTCTGAGTTCCCCCAAAATTCAAATTTAAAAGGTTCAAAACCCTAAAAATTTGGATTTAAGTGTCTGGAACCACTTTTCCCCTCAGAATTCCACAAAAAAAAAAAAAATCAGATTTAAATATCCAGGACCCTTTTCCCCCCTCAGTATTCCTCAAAAATCAAAATTTAAAAGGTCCAAAACACTTTTTTTCCCTTCAAAATCCCCCCAAAACCCCCTTAAAATTCCTCAAAAAATAAGATTTCAATATCCAGGACCGTTTTTCCCACAGAATTCCTCCCAAAAAACCCAAAAACTCCTCAGGACCCCTTTTTCCACTCAGAATTCCTCAAAAAAAAAAATCAGATTTAAATATCCAGGACTGTTTTCCCCCTCAGAATTCCTCAAAAAAAATCATATTTAAATATCCAGGACCCTTTTCCCTCAGAATTCCTCAAAAAAAAATCAGATTTAAATATCCAGGACCCTTTTCCCCCTCAGAATTCCCCCAAAAAAACCACCCCGGGACCCTTTTTCCCCTCAGAATTCCTAAAAAAAAAATCATATTTAAATATCCAGGACCCTTTTCCCTCAGAATTCCTCCCAAAAAACCACTTTGGGACTCTTATTCCCCTCAGAATTCCTCAAAAAAAATCAGATTTAAACACCCAGGACACTTTTCCCCTCAGAATTCCCCCAAAAACTCCTCAGGACTCCTTTTCCCCCTCAGAATTCCTCAAAAAAAAAATCAGATTTAAATATCCAGGACCCTTTTACCCCTCAGAATTCCCCCAAAAATTCTTCAGGACTCCTTTTACCCCTCAGAATTCCCCCAAAATAAAAACTCAGAAGGTCCAGAACCCCAAAAATTCGGATTTAAGTATCCGGAACTCCTTTTCCCCTCATAATCCCCCTAAAAAAATACTCCAGGACCCTTTTTTCACCAAAACCGCCTAAATATTCCTCAAAAATAAAGGATTTAAATATCCAGGACCGCTTTCCCCTCAGAATTTCCCTAAAAATTCCTCAGGACCCCTTTTTCCCCTCAGAATTCCTCAAAAAAAAAATCAAATTTAAATACCCAGGACCCTTTTCCCCCTCAGAATTCCTCAAAAAAAAAAAATCATATTTAAATATCCAGGACCCCTTTTCCCCCTCAGAATTCCTCAAAAAAAATCATATTTAAATATCCAGGACCCTTTTACCCCTCAGAATTCCTCAAAAAAAATCAGATTTAAATACCCAGGACCCTTTTCCCCCTCAGAATTCCTCAAAAAAAATCAAATTTAAATATCCAGGAGCCCTTTTCCCCTCAGAATTCCCCCAAAAATTCCTCAGGACCCCTTTTTCCCCTCAGAATTCCTCAAAAAAAATCAGATTTAAATACCCAGGACACTTTTCCCCCTCAGAATTCCCCCAAAATAAAAACTCAGAAGGTCCAGAACCCCAAAAATTCGGATTTAATTATCCGGAACTCCTTTTCCCCTCATAATCCCCCTAAAAAAACACTCTGGGACCCTTTTTTCACCAAAACCACCTAAATATTCCTCAAAAATAAAGGATTTAAATATCCAGGACCCCTTTTTGCCCACGGAATTCCTCAAAAAAAAAATCAAATTTAAATATCCAGGACCCTTTTCCCTCAGAATTCCTCCCAAAAAACCACTCCGGGACCCTTTTTCCCCTCAGAATTCCTCAAAAAAAATCAGATTTAAATACCCAGGACCCTTTTCCCCCTCAGAATTCCTCAAAAAAAAAAAAATTTAAATATCCAGGACCGTTTTTCCCTCAGAATTCCCCCCAAAAAAAACACTCCGGGACTCCTTTTACCCCTCAGAATTCTCCCAAAATAAAAACTCAGAAGGTGCAGAACCCCAAAAATTCGGATTTAAGTATCCGGAACTCCTTTTCCCCTCATAATCCCCCTAAAAAAAACCACTCCGGGACCTTTTTTCACCAAAACCGCCTAAAAACTCCTCAAAAATAAAGGATTTAAATATCCAGGACCGTTTTCCCCTCAGAATTTCCCTAAAAATTCCTCAGGGCCCCTTTTTCCCCTCGGAATTCCTCAAAAAAAAATAATATTTAAATATCCAGGACCCTTTTCCCCCTCAGAATTCCTCAAAAAAAAAAAAAAAATTAAATATCCAGGACCGTTTTTCCCTCAGAATTCCTCCCTAAAAAACCACTCCAGGACTCCTTTTCCCCCTCAGAATTCCACCAAAATAAAAACTCAGAAGGTGCAGAACCCCAAAAATTCGGATTTAAGTATCCGGAACTCCTTTTCCCCCTCATAATCCCCCTAAAAAAAACACTCCGGGACCTTTTATTCCCTTTTAAAACCCCCTCAGGAAGCATTTTTTTCCCTTTAATCCTCCTCCATTCCCACCCCTCCGCCCTCCCCTCCTCCCCAAGCCCACGTCC